CACATTTTTTTCCGTTTATATAGAGTAATAATGATGGTTTATGTGTCACTTGAGGTGTAAAATAAACCGTTGCACATCTGTATACAATGATTATGATGTTTTTTTAATTTGGCTTATTTTTCTTGATCTTTAGTAGGATGTTCTTATAATTTTGCTGTTTTTTTATTGTTTTCTAGAGAGCAGACCTATTTTTGGTGCTCTTTTTTTCCATCATTTTTCTTCTCAATAGCGTAAAATCCCTCTCTTATCATAAATTAGTGTGCACTCAGTGAGCTCTTCTTCCAACTAAAGGGGGTGACATTTGCTGAAGCTCCTTTTTTGGTTTCACTGCAGGTTTTATTCAAATCTTTGTTATTCGACTAGAATTTTTAAGAAGTTGTTTGCTTTTGCAATAATTCTGTCTTTGACTTTGGCTGAGTTTCTCGGTTAAATCTTTGAGTTTCTATATTTCGATTGTTGTGTGGATGTTTATTGTTCATTTTTTGCTCTAAAATCATGCAAAATCTAGAGATTTTAGAAATCATGGATTTGTTTTAGTGTTTTTCTATGAAATCATGCAAAATCTAGAGATTTTAGAAATCATGAATTTTTTTTAGTGTTTAGTATTTATAGGAATTCTTATTTTGGACGTTACTTTCAACCTGTGTTTATATCTTTGTGTCACTTTGCTGAAAATCCTATGCTCAATGTTTGGTTTGTTTCAATATTATTTTGCAATAATTAGTTAAAATACCATTAATCGTATTTTGTGTTCGACAGGTTAACCATCTACAAGTGTTCGATGCTTGAGGATAGAACAACATTATAAAACCATTCATTTGCATCAACATTTATATAGTGATGTTTATGTGTGAATTGAGGTGTTTGCACATTTTGTATACAGTATTTATGATGTTTTTTTAATTTGGCTTATTTTTCTTCATCTTGATGTTGGTCGAATAAAGTTCACTTTGGTTTTTGCGTTTAGTCCTCATGTTGTCATAGCTTTTAGGATTGCATCATCATCTTCCTCCGTGATCGTTGACAGTTTTTGCAATCACTATAAACATTAAAATCAAACTAATTTCATTGTTAAAACTATGCTCTGTGGATTTGTTCTTTTTAGATCAACATTTTGAATTTTTATCAAGGTTGATAATGCTAAAAAGCAGTATATGTTGTGTTCTAACTATGGTACCGAGTATTCCATCAAAAAAAAAAAACATGGTACTGAGTAATTAAAATAAACCTATATTTGTTCACCTTTTTATTCAATCAAATATTAGAAATATATATTTTCCATTAAAAATATTTAACAATATATAATAACCGTGCATCGCACGGGTGTATTACTAGTAATATGTGAATAGTGGAAGAGGGATGAGAAACTGAAATAGCTTAAGTGTAAAATGAATTTATGAGAAGTTAGGGGATCTCTCAAATGCAAATAATAAAATGAGTCTAGTTCTATTAAAACTAGATTTTTGGCCGTGCAATGCACATAATTGAAGTAATTTGAATACAATGTAAAGTTCAATTTGAACGATAAAACTGAAATTTCAATTCATTTTGATGTTTTGCTATATACATTGATGATAATCCCCCATCCATAAATATCTTTTTTCCATATTTATTAATCTAATTTTATGTTTTTGATGTAGTATGATTGTAAATTTATCTTATCTCAGTTAATATAGAAGTTTGACGAATCTTCTTCTTTGTCACCCATAATGTAAATCAATGATGCCATAAAATCTCAAGAGTTTATTGAATAATTCTTTTATAAATGTAAATATTTTTTTATATATTTTCTATTTTTAGTAATTATAAAATGAAAAAAATGCATAATAGTTTTAAAATAAAAAATAACTACTTTTATTTCAATTTATCCCCTAAGTTATTATTATGCTAGTAAACTTGACATTTTTAGATGATATTTCATAGAATCAAAAAGATTTCTTCAAAAGTTTGTACCATAGGGGGGCTTCTTAAGAAGGCAACATACCTAAGAGGAATTTCCATAAATACGTAAACATGGGGAAACATTTATAATTAGACATTACCTTATAAAGAGGTCTTCCTAATTTACCCTAAAATTAATTTAGAAATTTTTTACTTTATATCTAACTGTTATCTTAAATATTTGATCAATGAACGATATTTATAAAGCTTATAGTGACATGAAATTACATATAAATACGGCAAATTATAAGAAACTTCCTGAGGTAAAACCTAATTACAAAAATTTCCCTCATGTTTGTGTAATTTCGGAAAAAAATATATGAGGTATGTTGACGTCTTATACATTACTCCTTACAACATTAATCTTGATGGAAGATTTTTGACTGCATAGAACATTCTTCTAATACTACTATTTACGGACCAAATTACCCTCACAAATCATTGCAAATATATTATGTACTTAAGATGTAAAACATAGTTGTTTTTAATTATATAGATACTAGGTATTCTTCATTTTATAATTATCTATATAATATATAAAGGGAGAATACACAATTGAAGTTTTGACATCTTCAATTTTGATCCCAAATCTTTTCATTTCTTTTATTTGTGGACTTCTTTCCTTAATTAGTCTTTATGTCATTTTGTCTTATTTATTATTTAACTTATTTCAAAAAAATGATTTCTTTATTACATTTATGTTAATTATAAAATAAATATTATATTGATATTTAATAAGGAAATTTTGAATTTCCTTTGATTTGGCCAATCATATATTTTATTTTTTCTTACAAATTTGAATATCAGCATTTATGTTAATTATATAATAAATGGTTATTTCCTTATTTATACATATTTAACTTAATTATGATACTCAATACAAGTATAAAACCACATTTCTCATCCAACACCAAAGCAAAATTGTCCACTCGATTTTATCTTCATCTTCACCTCACTCCGACGCCAGAAGCAAGAAATGAAAGAAGAAAAAAATTGGCTGATGATATTTTGTTAGTGTTGTTTTTTCCGTTTTTATTAGTATAATTTTTATACAATTTTATTTCAATGATGCTTTATCATTTTTATTTACTTATTTATTTCTATTGCTTTCAAAAGATATTTTAAATTACCATTCTATTTTATTTCACTTTTTTTAATATATCCATTCAAATATTTATACATTTTTTTAATAAGTTTGAATTATTCTTTTTGTATATTATGTTCTGTTAGTTTTGGTTTTATTTTTATATTTTAAACAACTCCCAATGTTAATGCTATTTTTTTCATATAATTTTATTTCAATAATTTTGTAGCATTTTATTATTGTTTCGCATTATTTTTAATATAAAATTCGATTCACTATTCATTTTTTTTTCTATTTTTTAATAATTCTATTCAAAAGTTTGTTCAAATGTTTAACGACTTTGAATCATCTATATATAATATAAAAAGAGGATCTATGCCCTCAATGATTGACATGTGGCAAATGTTGA